TAGGTGTAATTTACTCTTATTAAAATCTTGTGTTAACTGATAGTGAGCAAGTCGTCTCTTCCATATTGAAAATGATGAGAGGGGGGCAGGAGGGCCATTTAGCTGGTCAAGGTCAATGACCCCCTTCCCATTGGTCGACACTGGGCAGTGCCATTCATTTCAATACTTCCTGTTTCATCATCATATTATAATACCCAAAGTTTCTTCTACAAATTGGCTCGCTTTTTGGCCTCATGAGATGAAGGAGTTGGAAATAATAATAAAAGGACACAATATCTTTTCGAATAGCATCATTTACTCCTCTAACTACGTTAATTGTTTTGTCGATGAGTCATTTATCCATATGCAAATGCAATTCACTCAATACAACAAACCCATTCTGAAATCGATCTCCTCCTTTTTCTGCTTTGAATGGTGGATTTCTAAGCTAAAATTACAAGAATGGTCAATACATTTGGGATAATAAGAGATTGCAGATGACCCAAACAAGCGCCATCCTTTCTTACTCTACCATTTGCTTGCAATTAAAAAATATTTTTTTTAATTAATCACTGATATCTGATCTATTGATCAACTAATCCAGATCAGATATTACAGAGACAATGACGAACTTCCCTACCCAATTTACTCTATTCGCAAACAATTAAAAAATATTTTAAAACTTCATTTGTATAACCAAGTACGTGGCATGATGAATGACTAATGTTATTATAAATTAAACTAATATATTTTTATAGCGCTCATCCCATATATTTTATGTTTAATGAAAGATATCTGAAATTAATTTTTCACAAAATAGTTAACGCCGAAATTAAAATAAAAAACAATTTTTTATAACTTAAGAAGATTAAATATTTAATGTATTTATAATATATATTTCATCGATCAATTAACTACATTATTATAAAAATATAATATTAATTTATTTTAAATAATAAATCATTATTTGATTTATTTTAACATATAATTTATAAAATTGTGTACTAATTAAGCTGTGCACGTTCCTCTATGTTTTCTTTCCCCGTTTTAATATAAACTGTGTCATTTTAAGACGGGAGGAGCAGAGCAGATCAATTGGCGCCGCCATATAACCGAGCCACTCAGTCACTCTGTTACGAAACGCTTCTCTCTGGCCAAACCAAAGTAGCATCGATGGCCTTTACCGACCTTTTCGCCGGGGAAATTGCGACGGAACTTCTAAAACAGTTAATCGTTATCTCACGCAAGTCATGCCTCTGCAAATCCAGTGCGGACAGTCTCATAACAAGCATCGAAGAACTCCTTCCCATCATCAATGAAATCAAGTACTCAGGCGTCGAACTCTCTGCCATCCGTCAATCTCAGCTCGACCTTTTCTCCGAGACCCTACGCGGCGGCATCGAATTGTCCCGCAAAGTCCTGGCTTCCGGCCGTTGGAACGTCTACAAGAATCTCCAGTTGGCCAGGAAGATGGAGAAGTTAGAGAAACAAATTTCGAGGTTCGTTAGCGGGCCGATGTTCACCACATGCGGTTCGAAACGATGGAGCGGTTCGACCGGTTGGAAGGCCGGTTGGAGCAGAGGCTCAATTCGATGAAGATCGGAGCGGGAGGGTGGGTCGAAGAAGCGGTTAAGAGAATGGAAGTTGAAGAGGAGGCTAGTTTGGGAATGATCGGTGGAGTTGGTTTGGATTTGGGAAAAAATAGAGTGAAAAATATGATAATCGGAAGAGATGATATAAACGTTGTTGGAATTTGGGGTATTGGAGGATCGGGTAAATCTACGCTGGCCAATGAAATTTGTAAAGATGATCAAGTCCGAAGTTAGTTTTTTTCCTTGATGAAAGGAGTTGATCAAATAAAGTTTTTGTCGATTCTTTCTGTCGGTAATGCCCGATTACGGTAGAACTAATTGCTTCTGTTTTCATTTTTTAAGGTTACTTCAACGACAGAATTTTGTTCTTAACTGTATCACAATCACCGGATATCCAACAGTTGAGGACAAGAATATGGGGATTCCTTACAGGAAACGAGGCCATGGGTTACACCAATAGCCTGTTTGTTCCACATGGGAAGTTACAGTGCGAGTGGGGAAGTGGACCACGAACTCTGGTTGTTTTGGACGATGTTTGGTCCCTTCCCATACTGGAACAACTAATTTTCAGGATCCCAACATATAAAACTCTGGTCGTTTCAAGATTCAGGTTCTCAACAACTGTCGTTCATGAAGTTTACAAAGTAGAGTTGCTGAGTGAAGATGAATCGTTGTCCCTGTTTTGTCACTCTGCTTTCGGGCAAACTTCGATCCCGCCTACTGCTAGGGATGACAAAAAAAAATTAAAAATCGAGTTAAACGGGGACGGGAAAAAACCGTTTATGTTAAACGGGGACGGGGACTGGTTTAGTAATCTCCACCCCGATACTCGGCTCGATAAATATTAAAAATAATTATTATATATATATATTAATAAATTAAAATTAAATTAAAATAATATATATATTTATATATTTAATTTAAATATATATACCCAGCCCAATATTCATTTAAATAACTATTTATATTAAACGGGATACCCGTTTCTTCGCGGTTTTTTCCGATTACCCATGGGGATCCCCGTTTAAATCTTCGTGGTTTTTTAAACAGAGATGGATACGAGTTTTTTAAACGGGGACGGGGATCAATACCCGGTCCGAACCCGACCGTTGCCATCCCTACCTACTGCCAATGAAACTTTGGTCAAGCAGGTAACCAATTAACTTCAAGGATTACTCGATGTTCTTTTGTTGTTTATTTCTTTGCTGATGATTGTTAAATTCTGGATTTGGTAGATTGTTAATGAATGTAAAGGACTTCCTTTGGCACTTAAAGTGATCGGAGCTTCGCTGCGAGACCAACATGAAATGTATTGGGCCAGTGCTAAGAAAAGGTTATTACGAGGAGAACCGATATGCGAGTCCCACGAAAACAAGCTGCTGGAGCGGATGGCAATAAGTGTGGAATACTTGAACAAAAAGGTTAAGGACTGTTTCTTGGATTTGGGATCTTTTCCAGAAGATAAGAAAATCCCCCTTGATGTTCTCATTAATATGTGGGTTGAGATACATGACATTGATGAGGAGGAAGCTTTTGCCATTCTCGTCGAACTTGCTGATAAGAACCTTATCACTTTGGTGAAAGACGCACGGTAAGTTGCTTGAAATTCTTTGTTTACGGAGCAAGTAGCTTGGATTGATTTTTGTTAGTTGAGACTGAATGTTGCTTTCTGAACTGTATTATGTAGGGTTGGAGATGCATACACTAGTTTTTATGAAATCTCTGTTACTCAGCATGATGTGTTGAGGGACCTTGCTCTTCATCTAAGCAATCGAGCGGATGTGAATGAGAGAAAGCGGTTGCTTATGCCTAGAAGAGATACTGAACTCCCGAGAGAATGGGAAAGAAACACGGATCAGCCATTCAATGCTCAAATAGTTTCAGTTCATACAGGTATCATGATCACTTGTTTAATTGCTTTGCTTTATATAAGAGTGTTTGATTACCTTCACCTAAATCCAGAACTTACTTGGTATTTCTATTGCAATACATGTCCTACTGTCTTTTTGCTCGTTAAATTTAAAATTTTATCATTTGGCAGGAAAAATGAGGGAAATGGACTGGTTTCGTATGGAGTTCCCCAAGGCTGAAGTACTCATGCTGAATTTTTCCTCCAGTGAATATTTCTTGCCTCCTTTCATAGATAGCATGCCCAAGCTTAAGGCACTTATTGTGATAAACTATGGTACAACAGCGGCAATACTTAAGAATTTTTCAGCCTTCACCACTCTAGCATATTTGCGGAGCCTATGGCTTGAAAAAGTGTGGGTTCCTCAGTGGACCAGCCCCCCTGTTCCCCTAAAGAACTTGCAGAAACTATCTATGATTCTTTGCAAGGTTAGTAACAACTTTAATCCATCAGTGCTAGACCTGCCGCTGATCTTCCCTCGTCTGTCGGATCTCATAATCGATCACTGTGATGATTTAATGAAGTTGCCACTGAGCATCTGTGTGGTGAATTCACTCAAGAGCCTGAGCATAACCAACTGCCACCGATTATGTGAATTGCTTGCTGATTTGGGTATGCTGAAGAAACTACAGATACTGAGGTTGTACGCTTGTCCAGAGCTGAAGGTGCTGCCTCCCAGCATTGGCGAGCTTATTGGGTTAAAATACCTTGATATTTCACAATGCGTTAACTTGAGGTGCCTACCAAGGGAAATAGGTAAATTAGCAAGCCTGGAAAAGATAGACATGAGGGAATGCTCGCAGATAATGAGTCTACCACCAGGAACCGCCTTATCAAACTTGAAGTCGCTGCGCCGAGTCACCTGCGATGATGAAGTTTTGTGGCAGTTGAAATACCTGGAGAAGGCCATGCCAGAGCTTTATGTTCAAGTTGCGGAGAAATGGTATAGTTTGGACTGGTTGGATGGCTAAAAGTAAAACAACTTGTGCATATCATGTATCCGCTAATGTAAATATCAACGTGCGTAATTTTAATAAAAGCGAGGCTTTTTTTCTTCTTGATGTGAGATAGTTCGTCACTTGGAAAGTTCGGCTACGAATATATTTTCGAAAACATTGCATCTAGCTACAAAAAACCTTTATTTTTTTTCCAGTAGGGCTGGTCCCCATGTTTAATATTATCTGAGATGTTGACTGGCGGCTGAGCAGTAAGCATTAATGGATAGCTTCATTTGTTTGCTTAGCTTAGAGGAATTGATAGGCCCAGGAATAGAGATACACCCAAGACAGAGATGTTTCTCATGGAATTATTATTTGAAAACTGTATGAATGTGACCCCAGAAGCAGCTGCACCGCGAGAGAAAAGAGGGACGGAAATTCCGAATTATAGAAAGAAAAGAATATCGGAAACAACCCATCACAACTACAGTAACTCACCAACAATGCCCAACAAAATGCGGTATATGGCAGCAAATATTGGCAATGGAATAGAGGCGAAATCAAATATGACCACGGTAAATATATGGCAAATTTTTCAATGCAATTAATCAGAAAGTAGAAAAAACAAACCAAATATGGAGAGAAAAATATCATGAAAGCAGTTGAAATCTGCACAACCCTTCTGCTTCCTATATGCGTAAGCCCAAGAAGGCCAACATTTTCACTGCAACACCAATCGGATGAGAAGCTGAAACAAGTTTCTACAGCATAGTGCTTATCCGTTATGGATTTTACGGTTAATTACTACTCTATACAGAAAGGAACTTCTCTATAAAAACAAAACTACCATACACGGATGCAGTAGTACCAACAAGAGAACCAAAAACCCCTTCAAGCAGCATACCAAGGCCCTGGCATTTAGAAGCAAGATGGCTAAGTTATCTACATCACTGAAAATATTATAATGTGATTCAGGACCGTAGTTTATCATTTTTAGGGAAATCATTGACATTTGAGTTTCACAAACCAATTTACAAGAATATAGTAAATAATGACCAGTAACCCAATACTTCTGCCGAGTACATGTGCTGGGGGGCTGTGGCACCAGAAAGCCGAGCTGCAGCGAAAAATGTTCCAGTTGACTGCATTGAACGTCATAGAAAGTTAAGTGACTGAACCTCAGCAGATAAATAAAATAAGTGCATGTTGCCACTGCAAAATAAAAATGTAATACTAAATAGAACTGAAGTCATTTAAGATTGCGACAAAACCTCAGCAGATGAAACAAGTGCAGCACCTATCATCCCGAACACATGGCTAGCCCTAAATATTGGCGTACCCCACTGAAATGGGTATGAAATTTTGATCCTACAAGCAGTGACATACAATAATCGGCTGAAATGGGTATGAAATTTTGAACACCAAGAATGATGCAGCTTAACCTATAAAATAGCATTGTGATTTCGGAGGTAACTCGGATATAATCGGATTGAGCAAAAATAGTGGAGATAAAGTAATTAAGTTCAAGTTAGAGAGGCAAAAGAATGACTTCTTCAAATCAGGCATGAAATCAAGAAGCGTTCATTTGAATCATCAGCTACTATGTTCAAGTCAGGATCATTCACATTATCCATGACCTTAACAAATAGAAATCTGTAACTTATACCCAAAAACAAATTTTATATCACTTCTACCTATTGAATGAAGAATAGCCCTACTTTATTACAGCACAGAACAAAAGACTTTATAAGTCAGAAGTTCCTTTACTTCTGATGCGGAGTTGCGAAGGCTTAGATAAAATCTCTAGCAATCCTTACCTTAACACGAATTTCGGAAGTGCAAGGAATTCGAGACAATCTCAAATTGGATAAAACACCCAAAGTTAACAAAAAGATCCTCAATAGAGACAAGTTGAAGATTGTTAGAGTTTGACTCGAATTCAATTTGACTCAATTAATGAAGAGTATTCATCATTTGGTTTTCACCAGCATTCAGCTACTTTACAACTCCAGCGGAAGTTGGTTGGCTTCAAAAATCCGCAACAGAGAAAAGTTGAACTACTTCTATTGGTTAATATCAGCGTTGAGTTCTGTTAACTGACATTTATTGGTGTGTTCCTCTGGGTACAATTGTAACAACGTGATGGGAATGAAGAAAGAAGAAAAATATGTTAACGGTAATGCTGATAAGGACACACGAAACAGCTTAAATTTTATAGTGTTGTATTAACAAGTGTTTCACATCAATATTTTGGAAGTAGACCAATAGTGATAACCATGAAGTTAGAATAAAATTGATGCATATAAATCATAAATTTATTTTAATCACTGTATATAGTATGTCAGATTTCACCTCAAGACGCGGTTTTGGTATGGAAAAAGAATGGACGTGAAGAAAAAAAATGTCATACAAAGAACCTGGAAAGAACTCAAGTTTGTAGAATTTTATACTGCACCTATTTGCTTGATATTCTCATATGCCCAAAAAATATTAAGTTTACATGTCATGTCGCTTTGGATGTACAATGAAAGAAGGTAAAGAATGTGAGTTACCATATTCTCTTCATTACAAATGAAAATAAAATAATCGAAATATGCATTAGCAGTACATGGAGAACAATCATACTAAGATTCACAGGCCTCCCTTTCCTACTTTTCAACAGTTCTCTTACCAAAATTGAGAATCTACCGGCACAAATATTGACCTTCAGCTAAGCCCTTTTCTCAACCATAAAAAATCTGACAATACACCTTGCTTCACATATTAAACAATCTCGTATCTTTGCTTCACCTTAAGATCTCCGGTTCTCTATTCTGTTCTGTACAGAAGGGATGCCCGCTTTCTAACATGCAATAAGGATCTCAAGCACGGAAATTAGAAAACGAATAGAATATCAGAGAGATATCATTCATTTTTCTTTCCTTGATTCTTCCAAATCCTTGTCGAGGTAAATTTGACAATCTAATTACAGGAAAAATGTGTCCGTGGTCAACAATTGGCCATCAACAAGATAACAAAAAATGGATATTGTGAATACATCATCCAATAAAATAATGCTCCAGGGCACGAAATCGAGTTCCGAATTCTTTGCTGCTGAATATTGACTCGCATAAAGTCTTTTTTTTTAATAAGTTAGCTTTTATTATCCAAAAGAGCATTGAAGCTACAAAGAACGTCCCAAAAAGGGTTTACAACCAAAATTTACAACAAAATGATTAATCTATACCCCAGGAGTTGCAAAGATTACAATTAACATTATCTAATCTATTGATATTTTTGTCTCTAGTTTGGGTTCGGACTATCTCTTTGATGGAAGATAGAAGTTGGTCGACTTCTCTGGATCCTCGATGAAAAATTCTTCTATTTCTCTCTTCCCATATCATGTAGATGAACGAAGTCCAAGCAAGCTTCATGATTATAGTAATGAGGGATTTACCTTTCTATTCATCACAAGCCCAGCTAATAGTTTCATCCCATGTCCTGTGAGAAACTCGCAGATGAGTAAGGGTAAGAATGGAGCTCCATAGGGATTTAGCAAAGCTGCAATCAGAAAATAAATGGTCTCTTGTTTCATTAGTATCATTGCAAAACACACAACTGAAATCATTGATGATGCCCATCCGAGATAGTCTTCCTCTAGATGGAAGTCTGTTCAAGATGGACATCCAAGTGATCATACTGAATTTCGGTATGTGGGAAGGAAACCATAAGATTTTATGCCATTGAACCTTGCTTCTTTTTTCTCTAACAGCTTCCCAAACATCTCTGGTTATTGTAGTTCACGCGTTTAGAATTGGAAGAGCAGTAGATTGGAGATTCATTAATCTCTTGATGCTCCAGTTGTAAGAAGGTTTAACAGCCATGTTTTATAAGCGACCCAGAGTGACCCTTACCCTGCCAGAACGTTTCAAATAAGCTGGACCATGCAGGCAGTGTTCCAGGTTTTGATGTTTTTCAAGCCTAATCCACCTTCAGATTTGGGGCAACAAATACGAGTCCAGCTGACTCTGGCTCCGGAAGAAGACTGGTCCGTTCCTTTCCAAAGGAACCTGGAACAAAGCTGGTTAATACGATTAATAATAGACTGAGGGAGGTTGAACGGCCTACACCAGTAATTGGCCATACTATACAGGACCGTTTTAACTAATTCAAGTCTTCCAGCATAGCTTAGGAGTTTGCTTGACCAATGGTGGAGTCTAAGCTTGATTCTGTCGATTAGAGGCTGGCAGTCCTGTTTAGTTAGCTTTTTAGTGACTAATGGAACCCCCAAATATCTAACAGGGAGAAGACCTTGTTTGAACCCAGAAATAGATTTGATAATTTGAAGATTCCGAGATGAAATTCCAGCAACAAAGAGTTCGGTCTTGCTTACATTGAGCATAAGACCAGACATGTGGTAGAAGTGATTTAATACGGAGATAATCCCAGCTATTGAATCAGGATTTCCTTTGCAAAAAATTAAAAGATCATCTGCAAAAGAGAGGTGAGTAAGGCTAACTTTTTGCATTTAGGAAGGTAGCCGAAGATCCCTTTGGTGGCAGCAAGATTAAGAGTTTTAGAAAGAATGTTCATAGCCAACACAAAGATGATAGGGGACAAAGGGTCACCCTGTCTAATTCCTCTCTGGCCTTTGAAATAACCAACCAGACTGCCATTGAGGGAAATTGAGTATCTAGCTTCAGAAAAACAAGCTTGTATCCACCTTATGAAGATACTTGGCAGCCCAATAGAGTAAAGTCTTGAAGATATCTAAGATGTCAAGAAACTGCTACAGCATTCTTCCCCACATTTAAGTCATGTATAGTATCTGAAACTTTGGATGGAGGCCAATAGCGAAATACAGATCTACCAACAATGTTCTCTATGGGAAGTGGACCCCTGAAAAAGAAGATGATTGGAATTAAGATGCCAGTCATAGGAGATTACATTCCTAAAATTACAGTGCACGCCAATTATCCATTCTTTTTTTTTAGGTGGAAGAAACATGTTACATGTCTTGCTTTCATAGCTTTTCCGATGCATTCCAAAAGCAGTAAGTCAATAGCAAAAATGAAATTTTAGAATTACCAGTCATGGGAATCAAAACTGTGGTTGCGGTTATCTCCCAACAAAAAAACATAACCTTCAGGCACAACCTGCAAAATCACCCAAAAGAAATTAACTTTGCTAACCAATGTGATTGACTTGACCCAGCAACCATATAACAAGCCCGACCAAGAACCACAAAGACAAAGAAGTGCAATCTACAAATGAATAAACAAGGTCGGCCTGAAGTTGGACACTAACCGTAGGATCCGTTTCATAAGCTAATGGCTCTAGAACGAAATCTTCATCTTGAACAACACCATTAACTAACAATTTGCCATCTCGAACCTACCACAAATTCAATATTGAAGGTTAGAAATAGGAACAATTTACATTTTACAGAAAGAAAATGAAAAGTGAAATGATTGAACGCCTTGAATTACACAATCTTAAGAGCTTGCTTCAACACAATCCCCAGCCTTAGCAACAATCCTTTTAATGAAAACATCACCTGAACTGAACCCAATTTCCTGCATATTGATAAAAATCAAAAGTTATAAACTGATCCAAATTTTTAAGCAAATAAATTATAGCTAAAAAGAGCAATCTTTAAGGCCTACCTGCAAGATAGGAGGTGCCCGGAATATAACAATATCGGAAACCTCTGGGTTTCTAAAGAAATATGATACCTGTTAATATCAGAAAAATGAAACAGATTAGCCACCCCATCTAATTTCACTGCCTATTAAATCGATGTTTCAATAATCGAAGATTTACCTTCTCAGCCACAATGCGGTCGCCAACATCTAAAGTAGGGTACATAGAAGCCGACGGAATTGACTTTGGCTCAGCCAAAAACGACCGGAAAAGTAAACTAACAGTCACGGCAGTAAAAGCAGCCTTGGCATCTTCGGAGCAAACATTTAACACCCTCGAAATCCAACTGCCTTTAACAAACGCTTTGGGATCCAACTCCATGCTCAAACTTCGACCATCATTGTTTGTTCCTCCTCTATCCACTTCACAATTCTCCAGTCCGACAGGATTCGGTTCATTGCAAGGAAGCCACTTCCTGAATTTAAAAGAGAAGAGGGAACCAGTCTCGGCCGCTGGAAGGACTGAGTTTGGGTTTTTGGGGAGGGGGGAAATTGAACTGCAGCGTGGAAGGGGATTGTCTCCGGAGAGCGGGCGGTTAATATATATATATATATATATATATATATATATATGATGTTATCGGATACATTATAATATATTTATAATATTCGGTTTAGCGTTACTGGAAATGTTGAGTAATAATAATGTAGTATGTCTAAATCATGAAGAAATATTAAAAAATTTGACAACCAGTAAACTTAGTTTGTCGGTTTGTGTTGATACAAATGAAAAATGGATCGCTCCATAGTAATATTACATATACAAATATGACAAAACCGGTCCCAAAATGACAAAACCGGTAAAACGCTACCGGATATGTGTCGAGTGTCGATAATTTAATATAAGTATCGAAACTTTCTGAATTTAAAAGAGAAGAAGTTATAGCGCCTATAAAGTGTCGATACTTTAAAAAAATATATCAATCAACAATAATATAACAGGTAAAAATATGATAAAACTGATCTCAAAAATGAAAAAACCGGAAAAAATTACCGGATATATTGAAAGTGTCAATAATTTAATATTAGTATCGACACTTTCTGAATTTAAAAGAGAAGAAGTTATAGCGCCTAAAAAGTGTCACACTTTATGAAAATGTATCGATCCTTACTAATATAACAAGTAAAAATATGTCTCAAAAATGACAAAACCGAAAAAAGTTACCGTATATGTTAAAAGTGTCGATAATTTAATATAAGTATCGACACTTTCTGAATTTAAAAGAGAAAAAATTATTGCGCTTAAAAAGTGTCGATACTTTATGAAAATGTATCGATCCATAACAATATAATAGGTAAATTTACAATTTAGGTGGCAAAAATAGAATATAATAATGACAAAATTAATAAACACAAAGATTTGATTCCAACATTTTATTCAAGTTTGGGAACTTAATAGGTAAAATATACCGGTTTTATGAGAGAATAAGTAAACTTATGTGTCGATACATTTATAACAAGTGTCGATCTCAAAAACATCGAAAATCATTATTATAATTTAATAGGTAAATTAGTAATATTACCAGTCTAAATATACCGATTTTTGAGAAAACATGTGTAAAAAAAGTATCGACACGAATTAAACAAGTGTTGATACTTTTGGTCTAGAATGTATTTCAAAACCAAGTGCACTAAAACGTGTAGATACATTTATAACAAGTGTCGATCCCAAAAACATCGAAAACCATAATTATAATGTAATAGGTAAATTAGAAATATAACCGGTCTAAATATACCGATTTTTGAGAAAACAGGTGTACAAAAAGTATCGACACAAATTGAACAAGTGTCGATACTTTTTGTCCATAATGTATTTCAAAAACAAGTGCACTAAAAGTGTCGATACATTTGTAACAAGTGTCGATCCCAAAAACATCGAAAACTATAATTATAATGTAATAGGTAAATTAGCAATATAACCGGTCTAAATATACCGGTTTTTGAGAAAGTCGGTGTACAAAAAGTATCGACACAAATCTAACAAGTGTCGATACTTTTGGTCCAGAATGTATTTAAAAACCAAGTGCACTAAAAAGTGTCGATACATTTATAACAAGTGTCGATCTCAAAAACATCGAAAATCATAATTATAATGTAATAGGTAAATTAGCAATATAACCGGTCTAAATATACCAATTTTTGAGAAAACAGGTGTAAAAAAAGTATCGACACAAATCAAATAAGTGTCGATACTTTTGGTCCAGAATGTATTTCAAAACCAAGTGCACTAAAAAGTGTCGATACATTTATAACAAGTGTCGATCCCAAAAACATCGAAAACCATAATTATAATGTAATAGGTAAATTGGAAATATAACCGGTCTAAATATACCGATTTTTTAGAAAACAAGTGTACAAAAAGTATCGACACAAATCGAACAAGTGTCGATACTTTTTTCTAGAATGTATTTCAAAACCAAGTGCACTAAAAAGTGTCGATACATTTGTAACAAGTGTCGATCCCAAAAACATCAAAAACTATAATTATAATGTAATAGGTAAATTAACAATATAATCGGTCTAAATATACCGATTTTTGAGAAAATCGGTGTACAAAAAGTATCGACACAAATCGAGCAAGTGTCGATACTTTTGGTCCAGAATGTATTTCAAAACCAAGTGCAAGTGTCGATACATTTATAACAAGTGTCGATCCCAAAAAAAATCGAAAACCATAATTATAATGTAATAGGTAAATTAACAATATAATTGGTCTAAATATACTGGTTTAAATTGAAAACAGGTTACCATAATGTATCGACACATTATTAACTTTTGTCGATACCTTTTTAAATTACTCGTTTTTTTATTTATTATAAATATGATACAAACTCCAAATCGAAAAACCCTAAACTTAAAGGCATAAAAGAACTCATCGACTCCGACGAATACCAGCGTTCATAACTGTTACGATCAGATATTCAGGTAGATCTTTTGATATTTTGCCATAAATTAGGGTTTGTTTGATTTGCAGATTGGTCTTTTTTTTCCTTAATGTGTTTTTGTTCCAATGTAACAGCATCCATACCCAAAATGGCTCTAAAACGTCAGCGTCAGAAGCGGGGTCTTTCTCAAATCTCTTCTCAACCCACCTCTTCCCAACCCAGTTCTTCTCAACCACAAATTTCTTCTCAAACAATCGCCCCTTTTAAGGAAATCAGGTCGTTCGAAACTGATAACTTTAGATCCGATGAGGAGAAAGAAAGATGGCAAATGAGTTTTAAAGTAAGGAAGATTCGTCCCGAACGTCTCATTGACTTGGGTTTCTTGTTTGATGATAAATATGCTTTTAGTTTTAAATCCACGTTTACATCTTGGGGTTGACTTGAATTCCTTGGTGTAGAACCAAAATATTACCCCAACCTAGTTAGAGTCTTCTACAACAATGTTTCCTTCGAGTATGAGCCTAATAAGAGTAATATAATAGGAATTAATACTCATGTCATGGGGAAGGATATATATATATCTCCGGAAACTATTGCGAAGGGTTTAGGTGTAGCGAATAAAGGGGATTCAGATGAAAATGATGTAGATTGGTCTACAATTAAACGAGTTGCTAGAAATATCCCAATTTACCTAGATCTAGAGTACAGAGTGTTTCACAAAATGCTGACTTGATTTATTCGGCCTAGTGGGGGAAAACATTCAATGCTTCGAGACAACGATTATTGGTGGATAGCAAAGTATAAATCCAAAGCCAAAACGGCTCCAAACATTGCTAAATTGTTTTTAATACAATTGTATATATAGCCACAAAGGGAACATCAATTTCAACTTCACTACCATGTGGATGTGTCATCACCCATCTGTTGAATAAGAATGAAGTTGATTTTTCGTTTGACTCATCTGTTCGATTAACCCGCAAGATTGACATGTTATTTGTTAAAAAAGCGGGATATAATTTTGTTGAAAAAGTTGGTTGGAAGCGTGTCAAGGATGTCGGATTAGATCTAGAGAGGGAGGATAATGAAGATGACCAACCAATGGGAGACGCAATGATGGAAGAAGCTGTAGAAGCTCAAGTTGGACAGGATGTCACAATTACGACAGTGATGGAATACATGGTCAATTTTCGGGAGCATATTGATTCCCTTGTGAGCAGAATGCGAGCCGATATTTCATCATTGCGCAATGAAGTCTCCATGTTGCGTGACGAATTACGACAACGACATCAAACGAGTTAGGTAATTACTTATTTATGTTTCTGAACATTTACACGTTCTGAAATGTATTTTATTTTCTTTTAACAGATGTGGACAACCAAGCGGTCAATGAAGATGACGATGAAGATGATGATCCAAACAAGTATATCGTGTCTGCAACGCCGCTTGCAAGAAAACTAGAAAATTTTTATGTCAATGGTGTCCTTGCCTACATCCCAAGACATCCAGAAGGTTTCAATTCTGTTAATTTGTATCCATTATTTTAATATATAAGCGTACAACTTTAATCTCATTTTCTTCATGTTGCAGATGTTATCCTCAGAAATGGATTATATGAATTTATGCAATTTTGTTTACATAATTTTGTTGTTACCATTTGGTCATCCAAGATGAGGTTAGAACTATTGAGCAATTCAAATTACTATAGCCAAAATCGTTAATATACAATTAAATGTTAACATTCAAACTTGATTACAATCTCAGGCATAACATGGACCGTGTACTTGATAAACTACGTTTGTTCTCTGACCACTTTCTATTCGTTTGGGTAAGATGATTATCATTACGCTTTGCTAACTTTAATTTATCTAAGATTTCTACATATTTATGTTCGATTGTTTATAAGCAGGATCAAAGTAAGTGCAAAATAGAAGATAAGTTTACCTACTGTAAAGATCTCAATGATGTTTGGAACGAGTTTACTGATTTTAACGCCCTAAATACACTGTTGGTCGATGATTCACCGCGAAAAATTATTCATAATCTGGTAAGTTACATTCATGCCATATTTTCATAGTTAAACAGTTGTTCATAGATTGATTGATTAACAATTTATGTTTTTTATTAGATAAACAATTACATATGTCCACATTCTTTCGACGCTGCTTCTCATTCGGACTACGATGCTCTAAGTATGACATAAATTAATTCCTGATTATGCTCATTTAGTTTCTTGTTCCTTATAAAAAATATTAGTTTCTTGTTAGTAAAATTGCACCTGATTAGTTTGATAATTGAAATTATTTATTTATGTCATCAGCAAAAGGTGGTAAAATACGCGAGTATTTGGAAATTTTGTTGAAGGCGCCTAATGTTCCGAACTTCGTTAGCGATAACCCTTTTCCATCAGATTAATTTCGTTGTAGGTACATTATTTGAACATTGTTATTTATAAATTTATTGTGTATGTATGTTTTGGTTTGATTACACATTATGAATCAATTATGCAATTTTCATGTTCAATTTAACATGGCATTTCATTTTCTTTTCATTTATAATTAGAGTTTGAATTTAAATGTAAAATTTAGTCCTAAACCAAAATTTCATCCATCCTAAAAACAACTTACTCAATGGATG